GGCGGGGAACCCAAATAACTGGAGCTCTACCATTGTGGGAGACCCAGAATAGTGGGTTGTTGGTTCTGGTCTGACACTTCTCTGGTCACTGTTGCCATCTGGAGAGAATATTAATGGGTAAAAGATCTCTCTCTCAGGAGGGCAGAACCAATTGGACAACAATCCCCACCAAGTGCTGGCAGCGAATATCTGGGTGTATGGAGACTCTAAGGTTAACTATGTCAGGCAACGGTGACTGGAAGGATTTCCTCATCCTTGGATTGCTGAGATTGACAGTATGTCAGAGCTATCAAAACCGCTGAAGCAGAGCCCTAGAACATGCTCCCCGCCGGGGACTCTGGGTTAATATTGGGTGCCTGTTCCCCATCCCAGGGTATTGAGACAGTTGGGAGGCTGGTGTGGCTTCTCTTTTATTTCCCTTCTTCCCTCAGATATAGGAAGAAGGAAAAGACAATTTGGAAACAGTGGTCTCACCCACTTTCCCCCAATCCTTCATCCTTCTCACACTTACCAACTATGTGAACATGATCAAAAATAAATAAATAAATAAATAAATAAAAGCACTGGGAAGCAGCTCCCTACTAAAAGCCCAAATCCTTGGGATCCTGCACCCATGTGGGAGATCCAGAAGAAGCTCCTGGCTTTGGATTGGCTCAGTTCTGGCCATTGTGGTCACTTGGGGAGTGAGTGAATCGATGGACAGAAGATGAAGGTCTCTTCCTCTCCGTATATGTGACTTTTCAATAAAAATAAATAGATCTTTTTTTAAAGAAGATAAAGAGGAAACAAAGGCCCTGCATTGTCTGGGACTCCACTCCTTTTCCAGTCTCATCGGATAGCTGTCCCCTGGCTCAGTTGTCGTTCAGCCCAGGAGCCTCACAGGCCCCATCCAGGGCTGCAATGTCCCCCTTATCTGCTTCAACTCTACTCCTCGATCTGCAGTTAGTACTAAGGTGTAACTTGGGAAAGTATTGCATTTGGTGATTGGTTCAAATGAGAGAATTAGCATCTTCTGAAGCTATTGGACACCTCCACGTCACTCCAGTCGTCTCGTAGCCAAAAGCCCGAGACAATAACCCAAGTTAATTCCCATAATGAGAAGTCTTCCAGATGTAAAGCGTCTCCCTGCAATGTTCTTTTCCTCCTAGAGCTCTATGCTTTTATATCTCAATAATACTGCAATTTTAGGAGTTTTCTTATCTTTCAGATAAGAAATTAACAACTGAAATAGTGATGGTTGCTGCCAACTTTGGCTTTTACATTACAAAAGTCGATGAGGATGGGGAGACACACATTATTCAAGCTTTAAAATGAATTCCCTAGAGACCTAAATGTATGGTAGAGTTCCACTGTACACAGTTCACTCCGCACTTTCATGGCTTCCCTTTACACCTATTCAATGGGCTTCGTAAGTTCAGCCTATTCAGATTGTTTGTGTTTATCATTCTTTTTCGCTTCCTTTTAAGATTTATTCATTTTTATTGCGAAGTCAGATATACAGAGAGGAGAAACAGAGATCTTTCTCCAATGATTCACTCCCCAAGTGGCCACCAACAGCCAGAGCTGAGCCAATCCAAAGCCAGGAGCCAGGAACTTCTCTAGGTCTCCCACACAGGTGCAGGGTCCCAAGGCTTTGGCCTGTCCTTGACTGCATTTCCAGGCCACAAGCAGGGAGCTGGAGAGAAAGCAGGGCTGCCGGGATCCTGGCGCGAACAAGATGAGGACTTCAGCTGCTAGGCTACTGCTCAGGGCCCTTTCCCTTTACTTTTGAGGAAAAGCTCTTTTTAATTACACTACAGTCAAAAGTGTAATGGTCCATGAAATAGTGTTCAATAAACAAAAGACCGTACTTCAGCTGGAAGTATAGGTAAAGGCTATACATAACAAACAAAGGGCCCAGTGGCGTGGCCTAGTGGCTAAAGTTCTCACCTTGAACGCACCAGGATCCCATATGGGCGCCGGTCCTAATCCCAGCAGCTCCACTTCCCACCCAGCTTCCTGCTTGTGGTCTGGGAAAGCAGTCGAGGATGGCCCAAAGCTTTGGGACCCTGCACCCGCGTGGAATATCCGGAAGAAGTTCCTGGATCCTGGCTTTGGATCGGCATAGCTTCAGTCGTTGCGCTCACTTGGGGAGTGAATCATCGGATGGAAGATCTTCCTCTGTCTCTCCTCCTCTCTGTATATCTGACTTTCCAATAAATAAATAAATCTTTATATAAGTAACAAATAAAGATGTCAATTTTCATTCATATATCTTGCCCATTTTTTTATACTAGAAGTAAAAATGCTTTACCATTGTTTGACAGTAATTCAAATCCTCCAATTGTCCATACATTAAACAAAAGTTTTCATACTTTATGATATTGGGTTGTTGCTATTTGGATATATTGAGGATTCCTCCAACAGCCCTAGAGGGAACAGAATAGGGAATTCCAGGTAATACATACAAGTGAGAGCATCTTTCTGTGACTTAACAGTACCTAGACATTGAGTAGATATATATATATATATATATAATTCAAGGACAGGCGTTATGGCAAGCCGATTAAGCTACGACTTGCGATATACAGTCTATAATGGACTGTAGCTCCAGACTGGGCTACTGTTTCCTTAGCCGCTCCCTACAATGAGCCAGGGAGGACAGATCACCGCCCAGTGCTCAGGTTAGCCACAAGGACCCAGTTACAGAGCCTGGCTCCTGATTTCTGCTTGACCCAGCCCAGCTGCGAAGACCATTTGGGGACATGAACGAGCAGGTGGAACATCTGTCTTTGTGTCAGTCTGCCCTAAAAATAAGCAAACCAGTCTTTGGAAATAAAAACTTTATTGTTCTGATTCATGTGAATTATTTCCCATGCTTTTATACTTCACTGTAAATTTTCACTGATTATACAAGCATCTATTGTAGAACAACTAGGCTTAACAATGCCAAACACAGGATTTTAAAGATTTGAAAGTAAAGAATGTCCAAGAGGGAGAAAAGAGCATTCCTTGCTTCAAAGTAGATCTTTTCACATACAAAAAGTAAATGCTTAGAAGTTTTTACTTTTCAAACCGGAAAGTTAGTACAAATGTACTTTTCCTGTATCTAAATAATTTTTGGGGAGGAAATGTTACTTATTATATACATAGTCTTACATATAAAAAATATTCAGACTATAGAACTTTTACATTGCTAATAATCCACCTCTCTGTAAATCTCCCTTTCCAATAATAAATAAATCTTTCAAAAAAAAATTAAAGAAAATCCACATCCAAATTTCCCCAATATCACAAACACAATCTTAAGTCCAACCTTACTATGGAAGGGGGAGGCGTTACGGTATGGCCAAGTTAAACCTCGGCTTGTCATTCTGGAATCCTATACCAAAACGCTGGTTTATGTCCTACCTGTCCTGCTTCGGACTCAGCTTTTTGCTATTATATCTGGGTAGGCAGCAAAAGATGCTCTCGCTGCTTGGAATCCTACCACTCATTTGGAAAACCAGGATGGGATTCTTGGCTGCACTATGGCCTAACCATGACTGCTGTGGTCATTTGGGGGGTGAACCTGTGGATGCAAGAGCTTTTTTCTCTCTCATTTTTGCCTTACATTATTTAATGATCATAGACAATTAGTGTGATCAGGACCTTTCCCTTCCTTGTGGTCAAGCTCACACAATTAGTGATACTAAGCTCTCCATGGCATCATACCTGGAACAAATCTCAATTCTTACCATTTCTGGTGGTACTAAGTGTAGAATTAAGACAGATATGGCCAAATTTCAACTTTTGCTTGAGGGTTTACAAAGAAGGGGTTTCTTGGTAGTTAAAATATAGAAATGTATTCAGAGCATTTTTAAAGTGAATTACCTCCAGTATAATGAACTGGATTTTAAAAATGTCCCCTTTTCCTTCCCCAGGAGATGCAGCGACATCCACTTTTGATTCCAGTTCATTGTTACCCTTTTTACAGGTCTATTTGCTTGTACCAATGACGTCTGGCCCAACCTCTAGCTTTAGCTCATTTACTTTAGCATCTCCTCATGGAGTCTTCCATTGCTTTTTGGAAAGAAGAGCAATTTTAAGTTGTGTCCAGATCACTGTCATTTCCTATGTACTTCACACATGGTTCTTACTACACGATTATGAGGCCAGATGCATCTGTGTGGCTGTGACGTCAACACTCAGATGGGAAATCAGAGTGAAGATCTTTCCTAGGCTCCCCCTCAGCAGCGAGGTCATAGCTGGCCTGATGACTCAACAGCTTCATAATACTCTTGGGGTTTATGCAATGGCTTAAGTGGACCAAGACAGTGCTTACTCTCATCGTACCTGTGTGCAATGGGAACTTGGCACATGGGAGCTAGAAACAGATTTCGGTCCTTGTCCTGACTCGGGTTTCTCCCAGCTCTTCCGGCCTTCCAATGTCACCAGGCACTATTTCACTTTTTAAAAGGGTCACAGAAAAAAGGGTGAAAGGGATGCAGGAGAAAAAAAACAATCCTGCCAAAAAACAAAAATTACAAGCCCAGATTGTCCTATAAGGGAAAAAGCAGTTGAATAATGTTCCATGTAACAGAAGTTCTGAGTGGAGAATGCGGCAGAGGACACAGATTCGGCCTTTCCAAGGACTACATGCTGAGTGGGCAGGGTGCACTGCTTCAGCTGTGAACTGTCTGCTAGGCTTGGAGTGCAGACATAAGAGGGCACAGTTTTGGCTTCCCATGACAGTGGGAGGTTTAGGATGATGTCCGGGCAGTCACAGGCATCGTACTGGACTCGGAGAGGCCCCGTTAAGGGCTGTGGAGGCTCTAAGGGTGCCTTTCAAAAGTTGCTTGTAGTGATGCGTCTGCTGGAAGCTGAAGAGCAGCTCTGGTGAGGTGAGGCGAGTGTGTGGGGCAGATGGGCCTTGGAATTACATCAACAGCAGTTATGATTTCTGGGACTCCTTACTCCTCAAGAAAGCAGATGATGCCAGAGAAGGAGGTAGAAATCTGTGTCCTTTAAATCTCAATATTTTAATCCCATTGAAGGCTTCTTGATAAGATCTTATTCCTAGAAAGAAAACAAAATATCTGCTTTTAAAAAGATGAAGACTAAGAATAATGATCTAGTTGCATTTGTGAAAGAAACCCATGGCTTTGATAGAATAAGTTTTATTTTTCTTTTTAAGATTTATTTATTTTTATTACAAAGTCAGATATACAGAGAGGAGAGACAGAAAGGAAGATCTTCTGTCCGCTGATTCACTCCCCAAGTGACCTCAATGGCCAGTGCTGTGCCGATCCGAAGCCAGGAGTCAGGAACTTCTTCCAGGTCTCCCACACGGGTGCAGGATCCCAAAGCATCAGGCCGTCCTCGACTGCTTTCCCAGGCTACAAGCAGGGAGCTGGATGGGAAGTGGAGCTGCTGGGACTAGAACCGGCATCCCTATGGGATCCCGGTGTGTTAAAGGCAAGGACTTTAGCCAGTAGGCCACGACGCAGTGCCCAGAGTAAGTTCTTGTGTTCCACAGTACACCGGATGAGTTGTTCACAACATCACAAATATGAAGAATGACCAGTAAAATCAAGCCCTTGAACTTTACAGGCAGGGGCCTACATGGATCTGTGCGTGTTTTTTTTTTTTTTTTTTTAACAAATTGAAAATCAGATATATGGAGAGAAGAGATAGAAAGATCTTCCATCTATTGATTCACTCCCCAAGTGGCTGCCAACAGCCAGAGCTGAGTGGATCCAAAGCCAGAAGGCTCCCACGCAGGTGCAGGGTCCCAAGGCTTTGGCCTGTCCTCAACTGCTTTCGCAGGCCACAAGCAGGGAGCTGGAGGGGAAGCAGGCCTGTTGGGGTTAGAACTGGCACCCATATGGGATCCTGATGAATTCGAGCCAAGGACTTTTAGCCACTAGGCTCCCAAATGGATCTTTTTATCTAGTGGCTATTCAAAGTGAACTCAGTTCTATTCAACATGCTTGGTGTGAAACTGTGAAAAGAACTGCAGCAGAAGGAGCCAGGCAGCCAGAACGGAGGGAGCACAGGCACAGACACACGTAGTCCCCTCGTGGGGAGAGGGGAACTGCCAGGATGTACGGGCCTGCCTCTTTCTCCATGGGCTGATGGAGGGAGTCTTTCCCCCATCCTGGCTCCTGGGTTCGATTCTCTTTCAGTTGCCCTGAACCTCTAGTGTGCAGTAATCCTGAAACCAGCCCTCTTCAGAGGGAGTCTGCTTTTATACTCTCTCCATTTGGTATCTCTCCTAGGTCAGACCACAAAACCTAGTTTATTATCCTCTGTACTATAAATGGAGTGGGCATGGTGGCATAGCACGCTAAACTTCCACACACAGTGCTAGCACCCCATGAGTGCTGGTTTGGGTCCTGGCAGCTCCATTTTCCATCTCAGCTCCCTGAAATGGCCTCTGCACACACGTGGGAAATCCAGAGGAAGCTGGCCATCAGCAAAAGCCAGACCATCTCTAGAGACTGACCACTTTGGAAGTGAACCAGAGTATGGAAAATTTGTCTCTTCCTCTCTTTCTGTAACTATAACCTTTAAGTAAAATAAACAAATCTTTAAAACAATAACAGGGCCCAGCACAGTTGCCTAGTGGCTAAAGTTCTTGCCTTGCACGCACCGGGATCCCATATGGATGCCAGTTTGTGTCCTAGTGGTTTTGCTTCTCATCCAGCTCCCTGCCTGTGGCCTGGGAAAGAAGTTGAGGACAGCCTAAAGCCTTGGGATCCTGCACCCGTGTGGGAAACCCAGAAGAAGCTCCTGGCTCCTGATTTGGATCCTCTTAGCTCTGGCTGCTGTGGCCAGTTGGGGAGTGAACCACAGGATGGAAGCTCTTTATCTCTCTCCTCTCTGCTTTAAGCCACTGTATGTGACTATAACGCCAGCTTCCTGCTTTCAATTGAGTTCCCTTCTAATGAGCTCGTAAAGCAGTGGAAGGTTGTTAAAATGCTTGGCCCTATGCCTGCCACCCACATAACACCGAGAGGAAGTCCTGGCTCTAAGCTTTGGCTTTGGATGAAAAAAATCTTTGTCTCTCTTCTTTCCTGTAAATCTGCCTTCTTTATTTTTTAATCTAAGATTTATTTATTTTTATTGGAAAGGCAGATATACAGAGAGGAAAAGAGACAGAGAAGAAGGTCTTCCATCCGATGGTTCACTCCCCAGGTGGACACAATAGCCAGAGCTGAGCCAATCCGAAGCCAGGAGCCTCTTCTGGGTCCCAATACTCTGGGCCATCCTCTACTGCTTTCCTAGGCCACAAGCAGGGAGCTGGATGGGAAGCGGGGCCACGGGGATTAGAACCAGCGCCCATATGGAATCCCAGCACTTTCAAGGATAGGACTTTAACCGCTACGCTATTGTGCCGGGCCCTAAATCTGCCTTCTAAATAATAAATAAATCTTTCTCTCTGTAAAGCTGCCTTTCCAACAAACATAATTAAATCTTTACCTAACTTCAAATTTCTTATGTACATTTTTTTCATTAAAACACTGTATTAACTTCTTCAGTGAGTTCTCTGTAAAATTTAACATGAGCCAGTGCTGTGGCGTAGTGAGTAGAGTTGCACTGGTTCAAGTTCTGGCTGTTCCACTGTCCATCTAGCTTACTAATAATGGGCCTGAGAAAGTAGTGAAGGATAGCTCAGGCGTTTGGGCTCCTTCGTTCACATGACAATCCCAGAAAAAGATGCTGGCTCCTGGCTTTGTCCTGGCCCAGCCTTGGCTGCTGGGGTCATTTGGGAAGTGACACAGCAGATGGAGGATCTCTTTTTCTAATTCTGTTTTCAAATAAATAAATAAATGTGTGCTTTATATATAAATTTATATGCAGAAGTAATAAAAACAACCTAAGTATTAGGGCTGCTGGAATAAAACATACTTCTTTGGTAGGAATATAAGCAGTACACAGTATTTAGTGCAGTATTATATAACGTGTACATCAACTATAATAACATAATGTCTTCTTCTGGAATCTTACATTTTCAGGCATAGCATTCACTTAACACATAACTGCTCTTTGCCCAGGCGATAAGCATTTCCAGGTGAGAAATAATTTTCCTCAAATTCTCCTTCTCACCTTCCCTCCCTGTCCAATTCCCTCTTCCCTCCTTCAGTTTTGGCATAACATACTGAATCTTGAAATATATAGCAAATCAATGTTAACTCATGCTTTTTCTCTCACAAGGAAAAGCCAGGTGTTCACTTTTAGCATGTAAAGAAAATAAACAATTACCTGTGAACACACTCAGGACAAAGCAAATTGTCCTCCAAGTGTGAGGGTGGGAAATTGCAGGAAGGAAGCAAGAAGAGTGCATTCACTCTTCCTTTTCTCTTCTCAGGTACCCAGGCTTGTCCTGCGTGAAACTGCAGCTGAACCCAGCCACGCTTGCTTGCAGGGAGACTTCTCCCGTGGACTACACACCACCTCTCACCTGGGGAGAAAAAAAAGGAGGTAAGCTTGAACACATCAGGTCCACCTGTTCAGATTCAAGACTGCATCATGGACTGTCACTATGGATTTTATTAGGTTGTTTAAAGTGGCAGTTGCAAGAACTGGACTCGGGAATCCCAACTTCACTTCTTTCCCATATTCCTGGGGAAGGGAGGTCCTCTCAAACTTTAAAAGAAAAAAAAAAATAAAGCAAACAAACAAAAAAAAAATCTGGTTCCAAGAGGCTTAGTGCAGGTGGGCAAATGACAGCTGAATGAACTGGCTCAAACACTTTATAGACACTTTCATTGTATCTCCTACAGGTCTCACTGTGCAATGCATGTGGAGCCAGCACTGCCGTGCAATGGGTTAGGCTCCAGTGTGCAATGCCAGCACGCTCTATCAAAGTGTCAGGTTGAATCCTTGCTGCCCTGCTGTGAGCCAGTTCCTTACTAAAGCTTGAGTGAAGCAGTTGAGAATGGTCTCAATATTTGAGCCCCTTCCATCCACATGGGAGCCCTGGATGAGTGCTCAGCTCAGGTTTGGACCAGCTCTAGGAGATGCAGCCATTGGGAGTGAACCATTGAGTGGATGAAATATCTTTTCGCCTTTAAAATAAATGTCTTCAAAACAGTAAGATTCGTGCTGCTTTTACCAATCTAGTTTTTGGTGAGCAAACCTGTTTTAAAGAGCTTGTTAATGTTACTTATGTAGCAGAAACTATAAAATATAGGGTGAAAACTTAGGCCTCTGATTTCAGGCATTTTAGATTCTGCCCTTATGTATTTACTTTTATTGGAAAGGCAGATATACAGAGAAAGATCTTCCATCAACTGGTTTACTCCCCAAGTTGCTGCAACAGCCAGAACTGAGCTGAGCATAAGCCAGAAACCAGGACCTTCATCCAGATCTCCCATGCAGCTGGAGTCCCAAGGTTATCCTTCTATTGCTTTCTCCCCAGGTCACAAGCAGGAAGCTAGAAGGGAAGAGGAGCAGCCAGGACACTAACTGGTGCCCAAATGGGATCCCAGAGCATGCACGGCAGTGACTTAGGCACTAGGCTATTGCGCTGGGGCCTGCCATTACTTTTAAATCATCTAAGGAAGGGAAAGAAATGAAGCCAAACAGACAGTCACCCTCTTCATATGTGGCTGATAACATAAAGCCATGTTTTTCAGTGTGGTCTCCCAACCAGCACCCTCAGTGTTGCCTGGGAGGTTATTCTGTCTTGGGCTTACCAGAAGCCTCTGGAAGTGTTTCTACTGCTTTCCTCTTCCCAGAATTAGCAACAATTCTGGCCCAAGAGGCCAGCACCGCTTCTGGGGCAGAAGTTGTCACTTCAACTGTGTTCACGTCCTCCAGGGGCACAGGCACGCCTTCCAGGAGGGGAGGAGCCGCTTCCAGGGCCTCAGTCCCAGCAGGGTACACTGTTGTACCATTTTCCAGGGACAGTTCCTCTTTTTCCATCTTTGCTTTTATTTGTGATGGTGTTTTGATCTTGACCTCCTTTGCTGTTGTGGGAATTTCCTGTAAATAGGTCTAAAGAATAAAGATAACAGAGAATAAAACGCTGTCACAAGTTATGTCCTTGTGGGTGGGAAGATGTGATCACAGTCAATGACGATGTACTAGATTTTTGAAACTTGCTTAGATCCATAGGTAATCACCAGAAAAATTAGCTTGATCTGGTTATTCCACAGTGCACAACTGTTTTACACAACAAAGACACTCAATTTTTAAATTTTCAGCTTTCATCATGTTGCAGCGCTGGTGAAAACAGATACAGGGGAACATTACAACTAGGAATGGAGTGGGAAGGAAAGGATCAGGTAGTTTTTCTGACTCTTTGATGATGAAATTCATAAGAGATAAGAACCGAGCCTTTCACTGTCAATGCTCTCAAAAAAAAAAAAAAAAAAAAAGCACGGTACTCACCTTCTGGTGTGGGAAAGCATATTCACAGACTCGCCTATATAGATCTATTTTCTAAAAGAGAATACTGAGTTAGTAAAGAAAGTAAGGTTCCTATGCTTTCCCCAGTTGCCACAGTTTCACAAGCTTAGAGACTCACCGGCCCTTTAGTGCTTATCCTCAGCTCTTGACCCCAGGCCCGCAAAATGTCTCTGTGAACCAGGTCAATGGGCGGCAGAGTCGTAGGTATCGGAGGAATTGGTATCTTCTTCCGAGGTTTTGGGTTTTCACTACGCTCTGCCTTTTCCTTATGGGAGGCAACTGAGAAAAACAGAAAAAAGAAATCAGCAGTAGCTTTTATTTGGCTATGATAGTTTTAGTTGTGATGTTTTTTTCTTCTAAAGTTAAGTTACTTGCCAAAGGCCAGATAGGATAAAACTTAAAATCTTGGATGTTCTAAAGCATCCCATGTGCTAAAGCTTGCATTTCTCTCTGGACGTTCCAACCCAGACAACCCAAGTGGCTGTGCTGTACTTTGCAATTCCATTCCAGGGTAAAGACTTATGTATTACACTGAGTTCATAAATGTATTAGTGCCTTGTCCTCTTATTACAGACCAAAACAATTATCTGAGAATGCCATACAATCTTGAACAATCATAATTCTGCCAGCCATCTCGGCTGAGCAAACACCCTGGTGTTGTTGCACTTCACGAGGGGACTGGACCTGGCACAGTAGCCTTGTGGCTAAAGTCTTCACCTTGAACGCCCGGGATTCCTACATAGGCAGTGGTTCTAATCCCAGCAACTCCACTTCCCATCCAGCTCCATTCTTGTGGCCTGGGAAAGCAGTCAAAGATAGCCCAAAGCCTTGGGACTCTGCACCTATGTGGAAGAGACCTGGAAGAAGCCCCTCATTGGCTCAGCTCCGGCTACTGTGGATGCTTGGGGAGTGAACCAGAGGATGGAAGATCTTTCCTCTCTGTCTTTCCTACTCTCTGTAAATCTGACTTTCCAATACATAAACAAATCTTAAGATAATTCTCCCTACTTCCAAACTACTTGTGTCCCACCCATGTGGGAGATAGGATGGAGTTCCAGATGCCTTGTTTTGGTCTGTTCCAGCCCCAGCCATTGTGGCCATTTGAGGCCATTAGAGATGGAAGATTGAAGATTTCTCTCCCCCCCCCCCCCCGTAACTGTGCCTTTCAAACAATCGTTCTTTCTTTTTAAAAAAAGGATTTATTAATTTTTATGAGAAATTCTGATCAGATTAATGGACAGAAGGAGACAGAGGAAAACACTTTCATCTCACTCCCCAAACGGCTGCCACAGCTGGAGCTGAGCTGATCCCACACCAGGAACCGGGAGTTTATCCTGGTGTCCAAAAGCAGGTGTAGGATCCCAAGCCTTTGGGGTATCTTCTACTGCTTTTCCAGGCCACAGGCAGGGAGGAGAGCTGGGAGGGGAAGTGGAGCAGCTGGGATGTGGACTGGCACCTGCTGGGACCCCAACGCTTGTAGGGTAGGATCTAGCCATTGAGCCAACATGCTGGTCCCCAATCCTTCAATAAAAACAGCTTTCAAACTGTCCTCAAATCATTGCACACTGAGCTCCTTAGCTGCAAGCAGCAAGCAGAAGTAGAATGATTATCAGAACCAAATACATAAGGGAATCTGAACCTGGGAAAAGACGAGTTAAAACACAAGTGACCGAAAGGATTTCAAGAGTGCAATGGAGGGCAGATTTCAAAGGAAATCTCAGGTGTGCAGGGCGCAAGCTATACATTGCATTTCTTCCTGGACTTTTGCATGCACTCAGAAAATACCTTCAGGTTTCAGGAAATGGGACCTGAGGGTTTGTAAACCCCTTACCATTGTCATCTTTCTTTGATCTCTTTCGTTTTTTCCCTTCCTTTTCTGTTGTTCTTGAAGATGTACTTGGCTGAGCGAATGCACATTCTTCCTTTGAGCCTCCTGTGGGGGGTTTCTGGGGACACAGGAACTAATCAGCAGTTTCTTTTTATGTATAGCAACCGGTTCACACCCCACTTGTCTCAACAGAACTCTTATCTAACTCCAGTTCCACCTTCACTGTCTACATTCAGCATTTAGGTACGGAGGGGGCTTTCTTCTCATTCCTTCATTCTTGACTGTCTCCCAATAAGTAATTTTTCCAAACAGAAGCTAGAGTTACGCTTTGGAAAACCCAACATCCCTTCAGCAGCTTATTGTTCTCAGAGACAATAAACAATTGAGCAAAATCTATCAGCTTATCTCCTGCCCTGCCCATGTCATGCAGCTGTTTCCCATGCTTTCAGGATTCATGCTTAATTATCAGTGTGACCAGAAGTGACAGCCCTCAGCCCCATTTCTATTTACCTTCCTAACTCCTTTTTCAGTGTCACTTTAAGTATTATTTCATCAAGGCCCTTTCTAGTCCTAGCAGGTATTGTTACATTTTATGAATTAAACCTAATCGAGATCACCTCATCCTCACCACTTATCAGTAACAATTTATATTTGCTTGTGTAATTGGACCAATGCCACTGAGTCCATCCGATCGTAAATACAAAGGTATATTCAAAAGACATTTAGTCCACATTGGTTAACTGAATTAAAATAACAAAGTAGCAGTGGGAATACAATGGTTTCATATGAAGATTCACGGCTCCAGCGTGTCGCTCCACATGGTTCTTACAGTCATTTATTTAATCTTTCCAAACAATCTTACAACCACTACTTATCTTTCAGCTGCTAGAGGTTACCTCATAGACGACTGGCAGCTGAAGAGCACGTTACAGGAGCAAGAGAATATCATTATTATCGAGTCGTAGCAGGGAAAAAGCCTAATGCCTGGATAAATTTGCTACCAAACCTATGTTCCCTTCCATCACCCTCAAAGTGGGAGTACTGGACAAATTAACACTTGCGTGGTAGTTTTGCATCTCTATACCACTTCCACAATCGTATTCAAGTTTCACATTTGCATTTCCTTCACAAGAAGTACTCACTTCGGGGCCTCGCATAAGTCTTAAAATGAAATGGGCTAAAAAAAAAAAAAAAAAAAAAAACCACCTGGTCGCGGGACGCGGCTGGGAGCTGTTCCGCCGCGGGGCTCCGCGCCTCCCTCACTTCCGGCCCAGCGAGGTCTTCCGGGTCACGTCGCGCAGGTCTGCAGACCCCGGGGAGAGGACCTCGACGTCGGCCGCGACGCCCTGGTTTCAGGGCCCTTCTCCCCTCCGCGCCGCTCACCACCTGCCTTTAGCCGCATATTCTTGCCACAAGCTAAGGTATCTCTCCAAATTCCCGCGTGGAACCTCATTTCTTATTTGCCTCCCCCAATAGTGTAGGGTACAAGCCTGTCCAGGGCACTACTTTCTTTTTTTAGTTATGCGGCGAAAATTTTACTGTGTTCTCAGGACCAAAGAAAGATTATGGAGGGTCAGAAGGGGAGAGAGACGGGAGACACACAAACCAACCCAATAAAAGCGGCCTTACCTCCTTGCCTCTCGCAGTCTCCATACTCGGGAGAGAAATGGAGCGGACGAAAACAAGGCTGCACTTGGAAGACGGTCCGAGGCCCGAGAGTCTCCACCCACTTCCTGTCGCCCTAGGTGCGCTTCCTTCTCCCAGACCCTCGCTCCCAACCCCCTCGCCTTTGCAGAGTGCTAAGTAGTGCATTTGCTTATGCATGAGGCGGCTACGGCAGGCTGGATTACAGAGGTTATGCCAGACCCTTTCCTGTGACCTTTTAACTGTTATCTAAGGTGTGGCAAGCATTGGGAATCTGAAGACTTTTCCCGAATAACTCCAGGGGGGGACAGGCTTTGGAGGCTTCGGAAGAGGTGTGTCGTGGAACCATGTGTGTCGTGGAACCGTGGAAAGGCGAGGGTTTCCAGGCCAGCCTAGAGCCCTGAAGCGAGCTGTTTTCTTGTACCACGTGTACGTCTCGTCTCGTTTCCTTCTTTGCTTTTTTTATGGTAGTCTCCAGGAAAGTCAGTTGGGACAGCTAAGCGACCGCCACATGGGACGCCAGCACCCTAAATGAGCGTGGGTTCAAGTCTCAGTTATGCCAGTTCCCATTCAGTTCCCTGGTAATGCAGTGGAAAATGGCCCAGGCCTCTCCCACCCGTGAGAGACCCACACGGAGCTCCGGAATTCTGGCTTCAGCTCGGACCGGCTCTGGCCGGCTCAGCTTTTGGAGAATGAGTCCCCAAATGGAAGATTGCGCTCGCTCTCTCTCTCTCTCTCTCTTTCTCTTTCTCTCCCAACCCCCAAACACAAAGGCCCGCCCCTCCCCCCCTCACATAACAGCGTAACAGCCAGGGCTGGGCAAGGCAAGGATTTGCACCACAATCTGTTCTTCCAGGAGGTATTGGCAGGCAGTTGGCTGTAAAACAGTTTCAGGAATTCCAGCAGGTACTCTGCTATTGGCTGTAGGTTTCCCAAGTGGATGCCTAACGGTGTGTAACATTGCCAGTCCTACGGTCCTTCTTCTTCTTTTTTTTTTTTTGTAAAGTCAGATATACGGAGAGGAGGAGAGACAGAGAGGAAGATCTTCCGTCCATTGACTCACTCCCTAAGTGCGCGCAACCACTGGTGCTATGCCGATCCGAAGGCGGGATCCAGGAACTTCTTCCAGGTCTCCCACGGGGGTGCAAGGTCCCAAAGCTTTGGGCTGTCCTCGACTGCTTTCTCAGGCCACAAGCAGGGAGCTGGAAGGGAAGAGGAGCTGCTGGGATTAGAACCAGCGCCCATATGGGATCCTGGTGCGTTCAAGGTGAGGAGTTTAGCTGCTAGGCTATGCCGCTGGGCCCAATCTTTCCTTCTTAAACAAGTTTCCCAATGTGTTTAACACTGAGGTGGCCTTCTGTATTAATAATAATTAGTACTTTTTAGAAATTTGCCAACAACCAATAATAAGTGATTTAAAACATTTTTTTATTTCTATATTTGGAAATTTCTGTACTTGAAAAGCAGAGAGAAAAATTCAAATTTTCCACCCACTGAATCACTACCCAGATGCCAGGAGCCAGAAACTCGGCCCTGGTGACCTGTCCTCTCCTAAGAAGAGTCGTAGCAGGAAGCTGGAATTAACAGCAAAGATACCTTGTGAACCTCAACATTCTGCTAATCTTTTTTTGTTTTTTTAAAGATTTATTTTGATTGGAGAGTTAGATATACAAAGAGGAGGAGAGACAGAGAGGAAGATCTCTTGTCTGTTGATTCACTCCCCCAAGTGGCCACAAAGGCATGAACTGCACTGATCTGAAGCCAGGAGCCAGGAGCCTCTTCTGGGTTTCCTAGATGCGGGTGCAGGGTCCCAAGACTCTGGGCCTTTCTCGGCTGCTTTCCCAGGCTACCAGCAGGAAGCTGGATGGAAAGCAGGGCCACTGGGATTAGAACTGGCATTCATATGGTATCCCAGTGAGAGGACTTTAGCAGCTAGGCTACCACGCCGGGTCCAGCATTCTGAAAATCTTGACTGCCTTGCTAAATATCTGTCCCCGTAATAGGGTTTTCTTTTCTAAAGTTTATAGAATATTTGTTGTATATCAAGTTCTAGGCTTCAGACTTTGGTTAAAATTCCTGTGTCTTATTTTGGGAGCTGCTGAGTTTGTATGTGCTCCAGCTCCTCATTTCAACTTCCTACTAAGGCAGACGTGCGGAGGCAGCGGGTGGTGGAGTTCACGCCATTCACACGGAGATGTGTGTGTTTGATTCCTGCCTCCTGGCTTCAGGGTCCTGGCAATCGTGGGCATTTGGAGAACGGACCAGAGGCTGGGAGCTCTGTCTTTTCTCTCTCTCTCTGTGTCTCTCTGCTAAAATAAAAATTTGCTGTCATCATTATTATTTGTTTTGGAGGCCCCAGCGAGATATGAATGCAGTCATTATTATACCTCATTTTATAGAAGACAACAGTTGTATCAAGCTTTGTTGTTAGCGTATTTGATATCACAGTCCTTAATCTACTGATTCCCCCAGATAAGTTCAAGGTTCTCTTTTTAAAGATATGGTAGGCTCTCTGTTTCTCTCTGTAAATTTTTCCTTTAAAATTTTTAAATTAATGAAGGAATGAATCAAAAATGGGGCGGGCATCGCGTGTGGCAGTCCAGGTGCAGCTTGGGATGTGTATAATTGTACTGGAGGGCCTGTATTCTACTCCTGACTGTGCTGCTAATTTCCGTGTGCTAGCAGTGCTCACTTAGGGAAGCAACTATGGTGGCTTAAGTTGCTCGGGCCTCTGTTCCCCATGTGGGAGCCCTGCCTGGAGTTCGTTTCCTGGCTTTGGCCTAACCATGCCACAAGTGTTGTCAGGATTCAAGACTTGAACCAGTGGAGGGGGAAATACCTCTCTGTGTCTGTGTCTTTTTCAGATGAAATGAAACAAATATTTTTTTTTTTTTAAAATAAATCATGTCAAGTTATAGGAGAGATGTGAAGGGAAGGGATTTCTTGTTTAGAAACAGTGATTATGGGACTCAAGCTCTGCTCTGTCAGCTTACGCAGCCCATTTCGTCCTTTTGTGGTGTTGCTTTTGTTTTCATGTCGGTGGTTCTGGTAAAATGATGAAAATGAGAGGTTTCTCTGCAGGATGTTTGGCTCAGTGATTAAGATGCCATTTGAGAAGTTGACATTCAGTATCAAAGAGCTGGAGTTCAGGTCCCAGTTCTACTCTCCATTCCTGGTTTGTGTTGATACTAAGAGCACAGACTCCGAAGTCAAGCCGCAGTTCAACCCCAAACGCTTTTGTCAGCTAGACAATCTGGGAAGGAAGGTTCTTCTTCTTTCCTTTTCCTTTTCCTTGTGCGTAAAATGGAAGTGATGGGACTAGCACCTACTACACAGAGGGTTGTTCTCATGTGCCAAGAACATGGTGTTTGGGACAGCACAGTTTGGGTCAGTGTGAGATGATTCTGATGAAATACTGTAAGGAATACAGATTTGAAAGATGGATTCGATCTGGGACTTTCTTTGTTTTTGTGTTTTCTTAAAAAAGGGAGTCTTAATGGAATAAAATGAAGCCTATGGAAAATTTCCATACAGCTCAAAATCAGAATGATTTCATCAAGGTACACTAGTGCATTAGAACCTATCTTTTCATATCCAAAGACTGACATTTTCACTAGCACACTATTACTTGATATCTAATTCATAAAAATTTTATTTTGGGGCCCGGTGTGATAGTGTAGTGGTTGAAATTACTTGTCTTGAACTCGCCGGGATTCCATATGGGTGCCGGTTCTGATCCTGACAGCTCCACTTCCCATCCAGCTCCCTGCTTGTGACCTGGGAAATCAGTCAAGGATGGCCCAAAGGCTTGGGACCCTGAAGAGTCTCCTGGCTCCTGGCTTCACATCGGCAAATCACCGACAATTGCACTCACTTTGGGGAGTGAACCATCAGACGGAAGATCTTCCTCTGTCTCTCCTCTGTATATATATCTGCCTTTCTAATAAAAATAAATAAATCTAAAAAAAAAATTCTATTTAGGGGGCCAGTATTATGGCCTAGTGGCTAAAGCAGATGGCTGTGATGCTAGAATTCAATATGGGCTCTGGTTTGTGTTCCAGTTGCTTTATTTCTCACCTAGCTCTGTACTAGTACTTTGGGAAAAGCAGTGATGACCCAAGTGTTTGTGCCGCTGCCCAGAGCGTCAGACCTCAGAGAAGCTTTAGGATCTCAGCCTCAGGTGGCTCACACTTGGCTGTTGCAGCTGTCTGGGGAGGGAAGCAGCCGATCTCCCTCCCTGTCTCTTATCTCTCTCTGTAATCTTTTCTTTTTTTTATCTGTTTTATTTATATATTTACTTATTTGGAAGGTAGAGTTACAGAGAAAGGAGGGACAGAAAATCTTCCACTTGCTGGTTTAGTCCTCAACCGGCCACAGCAGCCAGAGATATGCTGGTCTGAAGGTGGGAGCCAGCGCCTGGCACCCGTATGGATCCTGGTGGGTTCAAGGTGAGTACTTGTTAACCACTATGCTATCATGCTGGGCCTAGCCATTATCTTTAATGAGAGAAGTTGCATAGACCTCCTGCCTGCGATGCCACTGGCTTCTGATGTGTGCACCCATGCATGTGCTGGCCTGTCCACTAATGTTCCAGTTCATGTGAAGTGCTTGGGAGAAGCAGCTGAAGATGGCTCCACTGTTTGAGTCCCTACCACCTACCTGGAAGATCTGCATGAACTCTAGCTGCTGGCATTAGAGCCATTTGGGAGTGAGCCAGGGGACAGAACACCCTTTGTTGTTCTGTTTCTCCCCCTGTCTTTCTGTAACTTCCAAAGTAAATAAATTAGGCTTTAAAAAAATACTCTTTTTGGCATTGGCACTGTGGAGTAGTAGGCTAAACATCTGGCTTTGGTGCTGGCATTCCAAATGGTCACTGGTTCAAGTCCTGGCTGCTCCACTTCTGATCCATCTTCCTGCCGTGGCCTAGAAAAACAGAAGAGAACGGATGAAGTCCTTGGTTCCCTGCAACCACATGGGAGATCTGGAAGGAGCTTCTGGCTCCTGTCATT